GAAGCCATAAACAGTATGCCTATGCACTCTGCACCAGGCCCGGATTCTTGGAACTCCATATTCATCAAGAACTGTAAAAAACCACTATCGCAGGCCCTTCACATTCTGTGGAGACAAAGCCTAGATACTGGCGATATCCCTGACATACTAAAAACAGCAGAGATAGCACCACTCCATAAAGGAGGAAATAAGGCAGAGGCAAAAAATTACAGACCGATAGCACTAACATCGCACATCATAAAAATTTTTGAGAGAGTGCTAAGAAGTAAGATCACAAAATACATGGAATCACAGCATCTCCATAACCCCGGACAACATGGTTTCAGAACAGGGCGCTCTTGCCTGTCGCAGTTGCTGGACCACTATGATATGGCATTAGATGCTATGGAAGACAAACAAAACGCTGATGTAATTTACACAGATTTCGCAAAAGCTTTTGATAAATGTGACCATGGTGTTATTGCACATAAAATGCGTTCAAAAGGAATTACCGGGAAAATAGGCAGATGGATCTACAATTTCCTGACTGACAGAACCCAATGTGTAATAGTCAACAAAATAAAATCCAGCCCATCAACCGTGAAGAGCTCAGTCCCCCAGGGTACTGTGCTTGCTCCAGTACTTTTTCTCATCCTCATATCGGACATAGACCAGAACACAACCTATAGCACTGTATCATCCTTTGCAGATGACACTAGGATTTTCATGAGAGTTGGCAACATAGAGGACACGGCAAACCTCCAATCAGATGTTGATCAGGTCTTTCTATGGGCTACAGAAAATAATATGGTATTCAACGAGGATAAGTTTCAGCTCATGCGCTACGGAAAAATTGAAAACATAAAAACAGGAACCACGTACAAAACGCAGGCAAATCATAACATAGAACGAAAAGGCAATGTAAAGGATCTGGGTGTACTCATGTCGGAAGACCTTACCTTTAAAGAACACAATAAAGTAGCCGTCACAACTGCAAGAAAAATGACAGGTTGGATAATAAGAACTTTTCACACTAGAGATGCTATACCGATGATGATACTTTTCAAAACGCTTGTGCTCTCTGGAGTGGAGTACTGCTGCACAATGACAGCACCTTTCAAAGCTGGAGAAATTGCTGACCTGGAGAGCGTGCAGAGATCCTTTACTGCTAGAATCCACTCAGTAAAACATCTAAACTATTGGGACCGACTAAAGAGCCTAAAACTGTACTCCCTTGAGCGCAGGCGGGAGAGGTACATAATAATTTACACGTGGAAAATATTAGAGGGGCTGGTCCCAAACCTGCACAAAGAAATAACATCACATGAGACCAGAAGACATGGCAGGATGTGCAGAATACCCCCGTTGAAAAACAGAGGTGCAACTGGTACTCTGAGAGAGAACTCTATCAACATCAGAGGTCCGAGACTGTTCAACACGCTTCCACTACACATAAGGGGCATAACTGGCCAACCCCTCACAGTGTTCAAGAGAGAACTGGATAAGCACCTTCAAAGGATACCTGATCAACCAGGCTGTGACTCATACGTCAGGCTGCGAGCAGCCGCGTCCAACAGCCTGGTTGATCAGTCTGGCAACCAGGAGGCCTGGTCGACGACCGGGCCGCGGGGACGCTAAGCCCCGGAAGCACCTCAAGGTAACCTCAAGGTAAGGTAGCAGTCAGAAGAGCTAACCAAACTCTTGGGATAATCAAGCATACTTTTGACTATAAGGAAAAGAAGGTAATGGTTCAACTGTATAAATTTCTGGTGTGCCCACATTTGGATTACTGTATCCAAGCATGGAGATGTCATTTTCAGAAGCTAATAACTGCTCTGGAGGTGCAACACCAGGCAACAAAAGTCATTCCAGAGCCAAGTCTTCTCTCGTATCAGGAACACTTGAAGGCCAAAGGGCTAATAACACTGCAAACCAGGCATGACAGGGCAGATCTCATCGAAACTTAAAATATGAACAGGTTAGAGGATGTTAATCAGGATATTGTCTTCAGATGGTCAGATGTAACACAAACAAGGAGCAACAGTTTCAAGCTCAACAAGCCACAATGTAGGACTGAGAACAAGAGATGTTTTTTCACCTATAGGGTTATTAGCCCATGGAACTTCCTACCCGCCGAAGCCATAACTGCCAAAACTGTGTTGCTTTTTAAAATATTTCTGTAAAAGATCATCAAAGCAAATGGGGGGGGGGGCCTTTGACAAGCCGCCGGCTTCCTGTCCTCGTCGATGCCACTGGGTTAATGGCCCTCGGGTAAATCAGGTGAAAAAAAATTCAGTATTTTAAAAGTTTCAATGAGATCTCCGTCATGCCTGGTTTGCAGTGTTGTCAGCCCTGTGGCCTTCAAGCGTTCTAATAAGAGGAACTTTGATAGCACACCAGCAGTCACACAGACAGGACACATCACAGACCCAAGCATTTATGGTCCAGGGCACACCTGCACCATGCTGCACTTGGTCAATGTTTGCCTTTGAGAGGACCTCGTTCTCACTACAGCCAAGATCTTAGAAAAGGTCTCTACCATCGGAAATGTCTCCCTGGCTGACATCCTGGAGACCATAGAAGGTGTTCACCTGCTCTTCTACAGCGACATGAACTTCGAGAAGCTATTCGCCGCCTCCAACACGACCACCCTGCTAGACGCCGACCTCACCCTCAGTCCTCCATGACACTACCTGGCAGACAGGACTGTTTGCCAGATACATCAGTGCATGGATCTCCGACCGTAGCATCGACAACATTTTCGGTAGCATCAATGTTGCAGATCCTTCCACCGACGCTGCCTACTCTGCAATGACCCCACACACTGCAGTCTCACCTGACTGTCTCCACCAACAGGAGGAAATAAAAGAGATGACAGCAAACACTACCTCAACCTCATCTCAGCCAGCCAACCCGCTATGTCTTTCCCGGCCTTGCCTGGGAAATCTTTATCAATCATCTGCAGTCCTGCTCTTGGATTGGATTGGCACGTCCACGGATCCCATCTCCAGATCTCCAGTATCAGCTACAGATAATGGCCCCAAAGAGCCTCCACTTACAGGCTCATCATAACCCATGCTACTTGGAACTTTTTGTTCCGAGTAGCTGAATTAAAAAACAAACATCATCATCATCATGCCCGGGAATATGCCCGGGGAAGCTGCTGCTACCTCACCACCGCCTGGTCCCACGCCTCCGCAGCCCTCACTACCACCAACAAAGCCTGCAGTTACCACTACCAACACCCTGCTACCAGTACCTCTACACCTCGCCGACAAATTAGCAGGCAACGACGTCAACCTATACATCCACACCAACAACCGGCTGCTCACTGCAAATGAACTACCGACGATGATGGTACCAGATGACCTTCTTCCAGCTCCTCCAGTCACTGCCGGCCCCACAAACAGTCCGGTAACAGGGACACCACCCACCCTGGCTGCCCCGGCCAACGAAGACATCACATCAGAAGACGACGACGGACCACCCAAAACACCCACAACTGACACCAGGAGACTCTCCAGAGCCACCACCGACGTCAACGAGAATTGCCTTTCGAACGAAGATGAGGACGAAGACAAAGTCCCTGCTATGTTCCCTTCATTCCGCCCTGCGAACTACACTGATCTCACTATATTGAAGAAAGAGTACTGCAGCCCAGAATTCCACCTCAAATTTCCAGATGGACAAATGAAATTCCTATTAAAGGACGAAGATCCTGGTGGTACAGAATTACCGAGGTTGTTCTGTTCAGATATAAAGGGTCACTTTGCACATTAAACTGCAACCTGGTGACCAAGTGTCCTGCAGGACAAACTGCGAGCGACCATGAAGACCCCGTCCAGAAAACAGATCTCCAGTATCAGCTATTGGTACTGGTAATGGCTCCAAAGAGCCTCCACTTACAGGCTATTCATGCCCGTGCCACCTCTTGGGTGGCTTAACAGTTAATCAGTCAAAATTCGTATAGTGATTCAGTACAAACACTTTAGATATACCACACATCTTAAACATTCACCAGCAACAGTGTACCACTCGAGGAGTCCAGTTCCTTCTCTCTCAAGAGGCTACAGTCTCGACATGGATCAGACAGCCAGATTCTGGCCACATCGAACCTCCACACTCTCGTCCCGCACCGGAGAGCACCACGCTCAACACACTCACCCCGCATCCGATCTCTCTATCCAGCCCGTCGTCCTAAGGTTTCCCAACGTCAAGAATACAGTTAAATTAAAGTGTCCTCTCCTAACCTACCAGAAGACCCAAAACAAAAAACGGGACAGTGCGTCACATTTGTGAGCCGCTTCCATTTTCTAGTATGACAATTTTTGGCCTTTCACCTGCCAGCGAAATGCGACGTTCTTTGTGAGAGAACAGGTTAGTCTATTCCCGGCCTCGCTCAGCTGCCATGATCCAGGCTTCGTCTCCAATACTATGACACTTCACTACATTGCCATCAAACTGACTGCTGTAACCAAGTCTATACTAATATACAAAAACTACTAAACTCCAAATACAAATCATAAATAAATATTTGTGACTAATCATCCAAATACGTACACGTAAACGTACATTACACATTTTTTTCGATATTAGAGCATTTGCCAGTCTTGTGACCATTTGTGGAGTTCATGTAGGTAAGGCTTCATTATCCTTTTCATTTGAAAAAATCCTCAGGATAAATGGGGGACTATTGACAAACCGCTGACTTCCCGTCCAAGCGTCCTGTGGGCCTTAAACTGCGAGCGACCATGAAGAACTCATCCATCCACAGACCTTCAGTATCAGCTAAGGGTATGGGTAATGTACCAATAGCTTCACCAATGTTACACTATACTGTACTCAATTTATGCCCCACGAAATTCACTCTGGCACATGCCTAACATTACTAACATTTTCAAAAACCATATATAACTCAATTTATCGGACAGGAAAACTGTCATCTTCATACAAAAGAATAGAACTCAGAGCCCCATATATTACACATGATTACATAGTTCAGTGGCACCAACAGCACTCACCTGAATGATGCTAAGCCGCCTATGACTTGAGCGATGATCTTGAGGACGACATGTAGAGGGTTGGATCCCACTTCGACGTACTCCTCAAGGAGGGAGTAGGGGCAGGCGGTGGCGGTTCCCCATGACTGGCCCCACCATATGGTCATAAGGAAGAGGTAGACGGCATAGGCATACACTCCGTAGTTGTCCGCCACTGTGGAAATAACCTCACTTTACTCTAGTATTCTGCATATTGTTGTTTTAGGTTCAGCTACTCAGCTGTCATTCCCTGTCCAACAGCCTGGTTGGCCAGTCCAGTGATGAGGAGGTCTGGTCGAGGACCGGGCCATGAGGACTCAAAGCCCCCAAAACCATCTCAAGGTAACCTTGGAACAAAAAGTAACACGTAGCACGGACTATGGTGAGCCCATAGTGGACTTACCTGGCACAGGACCAGGGCTGTAACTTGGATGGTATTCTACAGATGCTCTCTCTCTTCACATAATACATCAATTGCCACAATATTCTTTAGTGAATCTATGTAATTTCCCAGCTACTGACAGGTTTAAAAACATAATTACCATTCAGTTCAATGTATGTCATATACTGTATGTAAAGTATCATTATAGTATTGGCAAAAACCTTTATATAAATACAATATTTCCTGTTAAAAGAATCTTAAGTAATTATCAAAAAAAGGCACCAAACCGGGAAGGCTATGTTGCACCATCAAATGTGCGGAATAATCAGAGGGCACTAATTATCACTAAGGATGCCAATACTAGAGCAGAAGCGCATAAGACGAACGATATCAAAAGTATCAGATTCACCAAGAATTCTATCTAGGGACAAGCGACTGAGAGGGATGGTCGGAAAGCAAGACACACGCTCGTCCTGGAAGTTAGGACATTCAACAAGGATATGCACGACCGTAAGAGGGACAATGCAATTTGGACAATAAGGAGCTGGGCGGCGCTCCATTAACTGACCGTGAGTTAAGTGTGTATGGCCAATACGTAACCTCGCCAGAGCCGTTTCCCATCGCCAGTTACGGTGGTAGGAGGATGGCCATGAGGACACACTACCCTTAAGAGTGCTCAGTTTGTTACCAGTAACAGAAAACCAACAACCCTGCCCACGGGTAAGGATGGAATACCAAAATAAGGAATACCTCTACGGGAGATGGGGCAAGAGCGAACAGCTTCCCTAGCAACAGCATCCACACGCTCATATAAAAGAGACATCAATATGGTTGGGAACCCAGCAAAACTCAACTGACTTAAATTTACTGGAAATAAGAAACAGCCAATGCTGAATCTCACCGACCACTGGATGGACATTTGGGACCCGAGAGCCATGAGGGCACTACAAGAGTCAACGACAACTATAAAGGAAGATTGACAATGAGAAAGCAGGAGACGAAGCGCATAGAGAATAGAGAATAGCATAAAGTTCTGCTGTGAAGATGCTAGTCTCCGGAGGTAGGTGACACATATAAGTGCTGTCAGGAAAAACAAAAGAGTAGCCTACACCATCTGCAGACTTAGACCCATCGGTGAAGATGGAAATGGAGCGGGAGTGCGAAGAAGAGTGCTCAAGTTAAAGGCGTTTCAGAACGCCTTTTATGAGGGGTAAAAGCTATAATGATGCGGGTCAAGGATGTACAAAACTTCGGTAGGGGGACTCTCCACGGGGGGCAAGGAAGGAACAACACGAGAAGAAATATTAGAAATACGAACTGAAAGAATCCTGTAAGCGAGATAACCGAACAGAAAGAGGGAGGTGGTGAAGAGGAACAGGAACCACAGGAGGGGTAAAAGTTAAAGCATGATAGAGGCGAGAGGAAGGATGTTGCAAGGACCTCGCAAGATAGTGAAGACAGTAGCAATCACAGCAGCCCTGCAGAGATGGGAAGCCAGTGTCAACATACAAGCTGAGGGCGGGAGTCGAACGAAAGGCACCAGAACTGAGGCGCAACCCAGTATGATGCAAAGCATCAAGACGGCGAAGAGTAGGATGAGAAGCAGACGAGTAAGCAGGGCAACCATAATCGAGTTTTGACAAGACGAGAGAGGAATGTAAAGCGAGGAGAGTGTGCCTATCTGCTCCCTAAGAAGCGGATCGTCATGAAAAGAGGAGGACGACGTGAGGGAGAGGCAGATGGAGAGGTCAGAGAGAGTAGCATGGAGGGTAAATAGGTTCCAGTCTGCTCTAGTAAACTGCCACCTACGGAAGGAGAGGGGCACGTGAAAAAAGAAAAAGGTAACAAGGATAGGGAAATGGTCACTGCCATGAAGGTCATCAAGAACCCGCCACATGAAATCCAAGTAAAGAGACGACGAGCAGAGAGAAAGATCAAGACAGGAAAGGGGGCGTATCCCAGAAGACAGAGATGGCCCGGGCTCACTGGCGAGGCTCTTCCGTTTCAACCAAGCCCCATCCCACATCAAGCTCCACCTGTACAGAATGATCATAAGGCCTAGCTTGGAATACCCCTACGTTCCCCTGAACCTCACCAACAAATCCAACATGCTGAAGATTCAACGAGTACAAAACAAAGCACTTCGCTTTGCAGAGGGCCTAACTCTGAGGGACAGGGTAAGAACTGACCAAATCCATGAGACGCTCAACATGAAGCCAATGAACATTAGGCTCAGCTACCTGGCCAGAAGACAGCTGTACCGTGTGAAGAACATGTATGTCCCAGACCCCGAAGATCCCTTCGTAGCAGAAAACACCACCAGCGACTACGAGATCCATGAACCACCACACAGAACCAGAAGAATCACTCTCCAACAAAAAGTGATCAGACATTTCCATGATGAGGCCTTCCCAAGCCCTCAGATACTAAGCGGTCTGCCAGACGACCCAGATGAGTGGCCCATCCCGGACCCAATCTACACCAAATGAAGAAAAAAAAAAACAAAAAAAAAAAACACCTACAAAAAAAATATAAAACCAAAAACCATTTGTCGTGGCGTCAGAAGTGTAACTACCCTGATGTTTCTAAGATTAGCCTCCTTCAGCCAACTCCATCGGCTCTAGTGCTTTAGGACACCAACAAGGTCACACACACTAGCCCCCCCAGCCAATGTACTGACAACCCAACATAACACATACGCAAACAAACAACACATACAAAAATGTCAACCCATGGTGGACAGGCCACCGAACTTTCAAACCTCCTCTCTCTCTACACCCGCATCCTCTTCCTGAATTTCATCTCCCCATCCCTCTACCTCCCCCATCCTTTCCATTCCCTATGGACATCAATCCGAATCCGGTGCGAGTTCGAGTCCAAATGAGTGGGCTCTCCAGAATTCAGAAGAGAGGATGAACGATTTGAGAAGGCGACCCCGGGTGTTTGTCAGAACATCACCCCAGAGGGTATGTTGACAATTGAAATCACCCAGCAGGAGCACAGGCTCCGGCAAGGAGTCCAGTAGGTGTTTAAGATCGAGAAGAGAAAGCGGAACATTTGGGGGGAGGTAAATGGAACAAACCGTGTACCATTTACACACAATTACACATGCAGCAGAACATTGGAGATGCGACGGAAAAAGTAGGGGGACAAAGGGAACATCAGAACGAATCAAGAGAGCAGAAGAGGAACGGGCCCCAGCAAAAGCCGGGGGGAAAAGGGGGGGGGGGGGGTAACAGAAAGGAATAGCCACGGAAGCGATCAAAACGAGCACCAAGCATCGGCTCCTGGAGACAGACACAAAGGGGCGAAAACTGTGAAATCAGAAGTTGGAGTTCAAGGAAATTGGCGTAAGATCCAAGAATATTCCATTGAAGAATATACATCGACAAAAAGAGAAAGGACAGCAACAGAGGATAACGAAGAAACAAAGGTGAAAAAGGAACACAGCACGTTAAAGAAGTGCAGGTTCAGGGTCAGGGTCAGGGTCAGCGAAGTCAGGGTTAGGGGACATGGGTAAACTGAGTAAGGATGGAGGGAAGGGAGCGGGAGTACCGACAAGAGGCAGACGAACAGGGTCTGGAGGAGGAGGAGGAGGGGGGGGGACAACCGAGGGTCAAGGACAGCAGCAGGAGGGGCACAAACCAGGGAGTGCACCTAAGCAAGGGCAGCAACCGAGAGGGAAGCGGGGGGCCAAAGAAATCTCCATAGCAGGAACAGAGGGTGCAACCACCGAAACGGGAGGGGATGTAGCAAGAGAGTCAGAGGTAGGGGGTGAGGAAGAAAGCGAAGCCTTCTTACCCACCGGGGTGGAGGAAGGAGATGAGCCAGGCTTTCGCCTCCGACTCAAAGAGACAAGCGTCCCAGCAACAATGTACTGGGCAACAGATTCGAGCATCTCAACAGTCGAAGCAAAATGTGAGCAAACAACACGATGGCCGCTGGGAGAGTGATGGACATCAGCCCACGCAGACAGGCGGCATAGAGAGCTAAGAGATGGAGGAGGATTGGAGGGAGACGAGGAAGAAGACAAGGAGACAAGACAGACTGGGTAAAAAGAAGGGGAACACCCCAGACAGAGAACCATGAGGGGGACCCTTCGAGACAGAACTCAAAGGAACAGAGAAGGCGATGGTGGGTGTGTCTGGGTCTAAGGCCTGGAAACGGCTGTGAGACTGAGGAAGCTGGGAAGGACGAGGAGAAGAAGAGCGTAACATACGAACATAAGAGACACCAGCGAAAGGGGTGGGACGGCGAACTTGGCGCCTCGCCCCAGGAAAAGACAAACGTTCCCTGTGCTTCAAGGTGAGGACAGCTGCCTCAAGTTTGTAATTACACACGCGGGAGAAGATACAACCCGTTCTCGCAAATTTAATAAGTAAATATTGACTTATTAAATATGTGCATAGGTGACATACTTAACATAATAGTTTCCCTTGAAAAGCTTCATAGAAAACACTGACCTTACCTAACCTACTTAGTATGTTAAGATAAGCATCTTATTGCTTCGTAATTACAATTACTACCTAACCTATACCTATAATAGGTTAAGTAACAATTGTAATTACGAAGCTATAAGATGCTTATTTTAACATACTAAGTAGGTTAGGTAAGGTCGGTGTTTTCTATGAAGCTTTTCAAGGGAAACTATTATGTTTAGTATGTCACCTATGCACGCAACAAATAAGTCAATATTGACTTATTAAATTTGCGAGAACGGGTTGGAAGATAGGGTGGGCCTCATTGCAATTGAGGCAGCGAGCCCGGGGAGAAATGCACTCCGACTTAGTGACTTTCGTTCCCACACAAGGGACATAGAGAAACAGTACTGGAGCATCAGAGGGCACCATGCCCTAACCTTCAGCACTTATTACAGAGCCGAGGAGAAGGAATGTACTCCTGGACGGAGCACCTGGCACCAGCAAGAATGACAGAGGGCGAAAGGGTCCTACTATCAAAGGTAATCTTCACAACCCGAAGGGGCTGACAGCGACAACCACGAGGGGGACGAATAAACGTGTCTACCTGGAGGACAGAATGTCTGGGCTTCGAGGATATGCCAAATATTTTCGTGACAGTCCTGAAGATTCCTAACACCGGTTGCAACATGGGGTGGGAAGAGAACAGTGCCAACACTAGCATTCAACGCTCAGAACGTCTCCGAGCGTTCTTGGAGACCCGAACAGGGGTTTCGCCAAGGCAGGATAAGGTGGCCAAGCGGGTGGCTGCATCCTGAGAAGGAGCAGCAACGACACGTGTACCAAGACAGGTGGGGTTGAAAATAACAGAGGCATCTACTGAATCAACAAGGTGTCTATGGAGGGAGAAATCGTCAGGAGGTGTAGAATCCAGAGGGAGGAGATCAAAGTATTTGGCGCACGAAGTGGGACCAAACAAGGCTTGGTACGCATCAGTATGGGAAGGGGTCGAGCGAGGGCGGCCGAGGCGTGGACAGCGTTGAGAACTCCCAGAGAGGGGTTAAAAGGCGCAGTAGTCACAATGAGAGACTGAGCCGTGCCAGGGGACGAAGTGGTCCCCACTGAGGGCTTGTGGCTCAACCCAACCACAGAGGGAGGGAGGGAGGGAGGGAGGGAGGGGAACCGAGGGGAGTAGTCAGGAGAGTCAAAGAAGGAGGAAGGTCGGGGCCCAAAGAAGCAGAACAGAGCCAAGTCTTCCAACACAGTCCGACTCGGGGGGCTTGGTCGCCCACCCCCATGAGCCCGAGAAGGTACAAGAGGAACAAACGTTCATTCACGAATGAGCCCCCACACCCACCATGGAGCCACAATTAGAGGCAGGACACCCAACAAGAGACATGTTGCCAATCTTGCCGGAACCCCGCAGGGGTGCGTCGTGAGTATACGCCCCCATAAACGCCACCTTAAGAACCGCCAGTCCGCGAGATCGGGTTCAGTGACGAAAGGAGGATTGACAATAAAAGCGTCCCCTCACTCGCGACGTCGGGTACCACAGTTCTACGGGTGCAAGAGTATGCCTCCTCAAACACCCGGGCGTCAAAACAAAAGAAGGCTGTAAGAATAATCAAAACAGGCAAAAGGTTGGTGGGAAATGTCAATTAGAAAGGAGAAGAGGGGATGAGGGGGAGAAAAACGAAACACAAGGAAAAGGAAAAGAAAAAGTCGCCCGGCAGAATTCGAGAGGAGAGCAGCAGGAGCATAAGAACACAAAAGGACAGAGGACTGTCCCATGGAGCATCACACTCCGGCAGCCGCCCACCAAGCCCCCTCATGGCAGCAACCGGCCAGACAGGTAGGGGGAAAGTATCTTAAATTAACGTGTGCAGAAAAGAAACTTCCTATATTGAATTACATTGTGTTCATTAGACTTGCTTCTCTGTACACGGACATCTTTGTGTCATTATTATAATTTCTATAATTATGAGGACGAGGCGAGCACCACACCCTCCAACACTCCCTCATGACGAGGACGAGGCGGGCACCACACCCCCAACACTCCCTCATGACGAGGACGAGGCGGGCACCACACCCCCAACACTCCCTCATGACGAGGACGAGGCGGGCACCACACCCCCAACACTCCCTCATGACGAGGACGAGGCGGGCACCACACCCCCAACACTCCCTCATGACGAGGACGAGGCGGGCACCACACCCCCAACACTCCCTCATGACGAGGACGAGGCGGGCACCACACCCCCAACACTCCCTCATGACGAGGACGAGGCGGGCACCACACCCCCAACACTCCCTCATGACGAGGACGAGGCGGGCAGCACACCCCCAACACTCCCTCATGACGAGGACGAGGCGGGCACCACACCCCCAACACTCCCTCATGACGAGGACGAGGCGAGCACCACACCCCCAACACTCCCTCATGACGAGGACGAGGCGAGCACCACACCCCCAACACTCCCTCATGACGAGGACGAGGCGAGCACCACACCCCCAACACTCCCTCATGACGAGGACGAGGCGGGCACCACACCCCCAACACTCCCTCATGACGAGGACGAGGCGGGCACAACACCCCCAACACTCCCTCATGACGAGGACGAGGCGGGCACCACACCCCCAACACTCCCTCATGACGAGGACGAGGCGAGCACCACACCCCCAACACTCACCAATGATCAGTTCGAAGCAGGTGCCGCACATCTCCGCCGCGGCGACAAGCTCAAGAAGGCAGCCCTTGATCATTTCGTTCTGGATCATGTCGCTCAAGCGGCCGCGGATGACGTGCGACAACGCCATCTGCGTCGCGATGGTTAACGACGACACCACGATCGACATGTTCTGTGGAGGACACGGGCGTTAGATCATGTTCTGTGGAGGACACGGGCGTTAGATCATGTTCTGTGGAGGACACGGGTGTTAGATCATGTTCTGTGGAGGACACGGGCGTTAGATCATGTTCTGTTTAGGACACGGGCGTTAGATCATGTTCTGTGGAGGACACGGGTATTAGATCATGTTCTGTGGAGGACACGGGCGTTAGATCATGTTCTGTGGGACACAGGTGTTAGATCATGTTCTGTGGAGGACACGGGCGTTAGATCATGTTCTGTGGAGGACACGGGTGTTAGATCATGTTCTGTGGAGGACACGGGCGTTAGATCATGTTCTGTTTAGGACACGGGCGTTAGATCATGTTCTGTGGAGGACACGGGTATTAGATCATGTTCTGTGGAGGACACGGGCGTTAGATCATGTTATGTGGAGGACACGGGCGTTAGATCATGTTATGTGGAGGACACGGGCGTTAGATCATGTTCTGTTTAGGACACGGGCGTTAGATCATGTTCTGTGGAGGACACGGGTGTTAGATCATGTTCTGTGGAGGACACGGGCGTTAGATCATGTTCTGTGGAGGACACGGGCGTTAGATCATGTTCTGTGGAGGACACGGGCGTTAGATCATGTTCTGTGGAGGACACGGGCGTTAGATCATGTTCTGTGGAGGACACGGGCGTTAGATCATGTTCTGTGGAGGACACGGGTGTTAGATCATGTTATGTGGAGGACACGGGCGTTAGATCATGTTATTAAATATTCAGTGTGTATGTGGTGAGAATTTTCAAGATTAACATTAAAATAAATTCTATAAAAAATGTATTATATATCTAAACAGTACACACTCAACAGTATCCAAATAACCTTAAAATTGTATTTTCACAAATTCTCACATGCATACGGGAAACCCGTTTTTGGTGTGAATATACATTAATAAATATTCAATGCATGATGTACCTTGTTTTTACTATTTAGGTTAAATTATGGTAATGATAATACTTGGTGTTATAATGCTCGTTTAAGCATAGTTAGAACTGTATATGTAATGGTATGCGAGCTACTATACTACAGTCGGTAATACCCATCCCCATGTGGGTACACACACACACACACACACACACACACACACACACACACACACACACAAGCCACAGAGACGTTAGAAAGAATTTTTTCAGTGTCAGAGTAGTTAATAAATGGAATGCACTAGGAAGTGATGTGGTGGAGGCTGACTCCATACACAGTTTCAAATGTAGATATGATAGAGCCCAGTAGGCTCAGGAATCTGTACACCAGTTGATTGACAGTTGAGAGGCGGGACCAAAGAGCCAAAGCTCAACCCCCGCAAGCACAATTAGGCGAGTACAATTAGGTGAGTACACACACACACACACACACGGGCGGGATCCAAGAGTCAATGCTCGATCCTGCAGACACTAATAGGTCAGTACACACACACAAAGCACATCACCAACATCTCAAACCATACAAACAATTGCATCAAACCAAGTAAGCTGAAATGTGTTCAATGATGAACACAAGTTATTAAATATATGCCTATCCTAATGTAGCAATGACATCATTAAATATGCCTATCCGGTCACGACACTAATTACTTGACTCGTGTGCAACATTGCAACTTAAACAAACCTAATATAATTAAAAAATATAATTCAAGCTAGAAGCTGTATTTAATAATGCTAACCTTGAGTTAATTTCATAATTTATATTGTAACAGAAACCTTGTATTTATGTAGCCTGTAGTTTAGTTTGTACAAGTGATTTATTGGTCTCCTGTAATTACAGATAATTAGCTTTGGGTGCATACATAAGCACTGAAGTTTTCTACATAAAGATACACAATTTAGGAAGTGTACGAGCAAGAGGTAAGGAAAGTACGCAAGAAACAGAGCGTTGTTCATGATGGTGCAAGAGACGATACATACATTACATAAGGGTGAGAGATAAGCTATACAATAGAGTGCTATACAGGTGCAGGAAGAACACGAGCTATGCTAGAGGCAGTACAGAGGTGCAGAGCAGTGTGCTGTGAGGAGTGTCTCGCCGCACTGTTGTGGTTTGCTCGTTGTGAGTGCAAGTACTCTGACTTGTGTGTCGGTCCGGAGGGAGGTACAAGTATGACTTGTAAGGTGGAGTACACACACACAATGAAGGTTTTAGCTACACAAATTAGTACATTTCGTCACCCACAACACACAAATACAAGCAACGATTTCGAGGTCTTCAGACCGGTTCGTCCACGAAGTCTCTGAAGGAATGGCTGAACGAACTTGTGGATACAGACGCAACTTGATCTATGAACGTGAAAAAACACAAATTTATAAACTGCTCCATCAATATTTTGGCCAATTTGGTTCCCGAATACACGAATTCTCGTCCAAGTGTTTTATATGTTTTATCTCGACTATACATAAACGTCACAAAGTCAAGAGAAGTTACGGAGAAGCACTAAGAGGGTCATTAATTTGGATTACTTTTGATTTAAGCTTTCTGTAAATCTGTGGGTGTGAGTGTATGAGGTACAGAAGGTAACCGCTGCAGGCTTGCGTGAGTGCTGGAATAGTTACCTTCCTGGAAGCCTTGGAGACAGAGCAAGAGACTGTCTTCTAACACGCCATAAAGAACCGACAGGATGATTTAGCTTCATATTATATTTCCATATTAGGGGATTGTGTGTGGGTGTTGAGGTGTGTGGGGTGAGCGTTAAGGTGTGTAACTGGTATAGAGAAACAACAGCTGTATGAAGAGACTACTGATGTTTGAACATCAGTAGGTAAGAGAGAGAGAGAAATGAGGAGAGGAGGGCAAGAGGCACCAAGAGAGGTGTGAGAGAGCAGTTCACAGGTGTTGGGATGGTGTCTGCTGTAACTGCTTGTTACCCTCTGTGTGCGAGCAAGATTAATGGTCACGGGGACACAGGTTACAACACTGATAAGAGAGAGAATACACTTAGTGCGTTGAAGATGGAAGGTGCGGTACTAGTGCGTAGAAATTGCGTAGCGAGCAATGGCGTGCGCTTCTGCAATCATAGCCATTACCTCAGCGCCTGGCGCACCGTACATGGAGGCTGGCGAAGGATCCTTGTAGCCAGTAGCTTTGAGCACCTCCCACCAGATGGCCGCCATTTTCCCCGTCAGCTGACGGAAGCTTGCCGCCAGAACTCTGCCAGGAGCCGCGGTGGAGGGACGACCACGCCCATTAACGCAGCTGCACGTCACAGCAGGACAATTTAGCAACTGGGGGACGGCGAGGCTAGCGCAGGTGTTCCCAGGTGACTGAGGGAGTTGAAGGCTGGAGGGAACATGGCCGCCATGTCACCGTCTCCACCAGGATGGCCACGCCACAACGTGCAGACAACGCTGCCAGCCTGCTTCCCCATCTTACTGTGTGCGTGTTGGTACACATTAATAATACTGGTTTACACTATGTAAAATGTAAACATTTGTAACTAGTTCACCACAATGTGTATTGCTTAGCATAAATAACGTTGTGGTCCAGCTCTTGGGCCCATTATGCGAGTAGCCTTCGTGTCCCAGCCAATAGTATGGGAGAACATACTGAACACAAGAAACTAAATGTAATAATTTGAATTGGTTTATTAGCGGCGTTGAAGAAACAGAAGCACTCACTCCTGCACCCCAGGTCCACTCTAGGGGGCTCCCTGAACCCCAGGTCCACGCCAGGGGCCCCCTCGCACCCCAGGTCCACGCCAGGGGCCCCAGGCCCACTCCAGGGGCCCCCATGCACCCCAGGTCCACGCCAGGGGCCCCCCTGCACCCCAGGTCCACTCCAGCCCCCCCCCCCCTGCACCCTAGGTTCACTCCAGGGGCCCTCCTGCACCCCAGGTTCACTCCAGGGGCCCTCCTGCACCCCAGGTTCACTCCAGGGGCCCTCCTGCACCCCAGGTTCACTCCAGGGGCCCTCCTGCACCCCAGGTTCACTCCAGGGGGGCCCCCTGCACCCCAGGTCCACGCCAGGGCCGCTGCTAACACGGTGATCCATCACCATTTCCAAGAGTTGTTGTAAAGGCGTGTACAGTGATACCATCTTAGGCCACATTGTTCTTATGAACTAGGTTATAAAATGCTTAAACTATTCCGTGAGATTTAAATTAGGTTACATGAATTATATACATATACAGTTTTTATATAATTGTATACATTCATTCAGACACTGGCGCATACAGAACAAAAATAACAGGTAAATATTATGAACACTCACTCTAATCAAATATTATGCAAACACATAATAGGTAATACTACACACTCGCACATATGTAGGCAGACATCAACACATCCACATATGGACACACAGCGCCACCAAAACACCCACAAACACCCTATAAGAATGGCATAGCACCCAAAGCAAAGGACCAACCTAAGCTTCTATGGACCTCCATCAGAAGGATGATGCATGGACCTGATTCATGAAAAAATGAGGGGCATCAACAAGTAGCTACAGAAGAGGCAGATGTTAATCTTCTTGTTTGAGAAGCTGTTCACTTGAGACAGTTAAGCAAGTCCCAGCTGTGTCTGGGTACAAGTGACAGGATGAACAACCCAGCGGGTTTTCTTCCTATTGGGGAGTGTTGTACATGCTGCTATGGCGGTGTGTCCACTCACAGGATGAGTGACGCTGCCCAATAAACTCGCCCCTCGGGTCAAAATTAAACAAAAAATAAAAATTTAGCATGTTAGGACTCAACTTGTCACGACGCCGCCGTAAAATGTTAACATCAACCACTGTAACTATACTGTATCAAATGTGCATCAAAAACTACCATAATGTTTGCGACACCATAGTAACAGGCGTTACTCTTTTCTCCTCTCCCTCTCTCCCTCCCTCCATCCCCCTCTCCTCCTCTTCCTCCCCCTCTCCTCTTCCCCCTCTCTCCCTCCCCAAATCCTCCCCCCCAGCAGCGGGGTCGGCCTGGGGTCTGACCCCCTAGAGACAAGTGTGCGGCTTTAATATGGCTCACTACTGTTATCCTTCCTCCTCCTCCTCTTCCCTCCTTGCTCTTCTAACCCCTCCCCCCCCCCACTAGTAGTAGAGGGGAGGGTGTCTCCCTCCGGTAGGGGAACACCGGAGGGTAGGAGACACCGTCCCCTCTACTACTGCCACAGCCTCTACCCGCTGCCTGCAGGACCCGCCCTTTCATGCTAATGCAGCCCGTCCTCTTAAGGTTTCCCAACGTCAATAAAACGGCCAGTTTAAAGTGTCCTTATCCTAACCTACCGGAGGACCCAAAACAGAAAATGGGACATTACGTCACTTTCGCGATCCGCTTCCATTTTCTAGTACGGCAATTTTTGGCCGTATGTAGCGCATACGTGTGAAATGCGACGTTCTTTGTAGGAGGACAGGTTGGCTAATGAGACTCCCAGCACCCTCGCTATTTCCTCTGTCCAACCATCAACGCCGCTCCCTCACCTAGCCCCTACTCCTTTCCCCACCATTCAGGCAAAGTCCAAGTGGTTGGGCACCATTCCTTCCCTCCGTTTCATCCCAAATCCTTATCCTGACCCCCCTTCCAAGTGCTATATAGTCGCAATGACTTGATGCTTTCCCCTTAATAACTCCCTCCCCCCCGCCACTGGTGCTTACTACTATACTAATTAACAATTATTATTAAACAATTAGTACAATTATTATTATACTACTGGTGTGTCGCTGCTGCTGCTGGGTTATGCTCCAGGCAGCTCTAACAAACTACAGTAGTGTGATAACACAAGGAGACCAAAGTAATTGCTTATTATTTCATTGAATGGAACGATTAAGTCGATTAAGACGTTAAGCAGTCTCCGTGGTGTAGTGGTAAGACACTCGCCTGGCGTTCCGCGAGCGATTTGTCATGGGTTCGTATCCTGGCCGGGGAGGATTTACTGGGCGCAATTCCTTAACTGTAGCCTCTGTTTAACTCAACAGTAAAATGTGTACTTGGTTGTAACAACGATTCTTCGCGGCAGGGGATCGTATTCCAGGGACCTGCCCGAAACGCTACGCGTACTAGTGGCTCTACAAGCATGTAACAACTCTTGATTATCGCCGTTTCGTAGGTTCATCACAAGGCTGTTTTTATATAGACATTAACGTTTTCTGTTGGGTATGTAAAGGCTGAAAGAAAACGCGCACTGCCTTTGTTTACTAAACTTATAGTGTAACAATCTAACAAAATTGTCTTAATTATAATCTGGTTGACGTAGACAGACGCACGCAGAAAGAAAAACAAAAGAAGAAACGTTAACAATCAACGTATAGAAGCAAGCATGAAGGCAACTAGAACGTACATAGAAGCACGCGCCTGACAGCTGAGTGGACAGCGCTTCGGATTCGTAGTCCTGAGGTTCCGGGTTCGATTCCCGGTGGAGGCGGAGACAAATGGGCAAAAACTTTCTTTCATCCTCATGCCCCTGTTAGCTAGCAGTAAATAGGTACCTGGGAGTTAGACAGCTGCTACGGGCTGCTTCCAGGGTGTAACAAAAAGGAGGCCTGGCCGAGGACCGGGCCGCGGGGATGCTAAGCCCAGAAATCATCTCAAGATAACGCACAGACGTATGGTTGATACCTGGTTGATGGGGTTCTGGGAGTTCTTCTACTCCCCAAGCCCGGCCCGAGGCCATGCTTGACTTGTGAGAGTTTGGTCCACCAGGCTGTTGCTTGGAGTAGCCCGCAGGCTCACATACCCACCACAGCCCGGTTGGTCCGGCACTCCTTGGAGGAATAAATCTAGTTTCCTCTTGAAAATGTCCACGGTTGTTCCGGCAATATTTCTTATGCATGCTGGGAGGACGTTGAACAACCGCGGACCTCTGATGTTTACACAGTGTTGTCTGATGGTGCCTATGGCACAATTTCCGTATGCTAGAACAGAGACGCGCGAACGACCAACTACGAGCGCATTTACTCGTCAAAGACCGCATCTGTGACGCTGTAGTTAGCGCAGTCAGGTCACATGCGAAAGGTACCGGGGTTAATTGCCGTAGCAGGATAATGGCTTGTTTTGCCATTGTCACAGGTGCTTCCGTTAACCTACTAGTAAATAACTTGATGGAGCACAATGTGACAAAGGCTGTTGAGGCTGACAATCTCACCTTAGATGCTAAAAGAGGGTGTAAAAGCCTCGTGCAGTCATCTGGAGGAAAAACCCTTCTTGTAAACTGCCCGTACCATCAAGAAGAAGAAAGGTACAAAATGGTATATGACAGTTCACTGGAAACAGGAAATCTACTGGAAAGTTTGAAGAGAGCTAAGGTAGTCCTAGAATCCACTCAGTAAAACAGCTAAACTACTGGGACCAACTGCACACAGAAATAACACCACACGAGACCAGAAGGCATGGCAGGATGTTCAGAATACCCTCGTCGAAAAGCAAAGGTGCAACAGGTAGTCATAGAGAACTCTATCAACATCAGAGGCCCGAGACTGTTCAACATGCTTCCACTACACATAAAGAGAACTTGATAAAACAAGAGTGTGTTAAGAGAGAACGTGATAAAACACCACCAAAGAATACCTGATCAACAGGCCGGCCCCTGTTGTTGATTCATACGTCAGCCTGCGAGCAGCCGCGTCCAACAGCCTTGTTGACCAGTCCAGCAACAAGGCGGCTTTGTCGAGGACCGGGCCGCGGGGACGTTGAGCCCAGAAACCATCGCAAGGTAGGTCCCAATATATAAAAAGGGTGACAAGCAGAAGGCATTTAACTACAGGCCAGTTTCCCTAACTTGCATACCATGCAAGATGATGGAGAAGATCGTGAGGAAACAGCTCATAGAACATTTGGAGAGAAGGAGCTTTGTAACACTCCACCAACATGGGTTCAGTTTTGGTAAATTGTGCCTCATAGGTTTTACAGAATTCTATGACCAGGCGACAAAAATTAGGCAAGAAAGAGAAAGGTGGGTAGACTGAATTGTCTTTGACTGTCAGAAAACCTCTGACATAGTATCCCATACGAGGCTGTTCCAAAAGATGGATAAGCAGGCAGGAATAACAGGTAAGGGGCTCCAGTAGATAAGGGAGTATCTGAGCAACATAAAACAGTTACTGTGCAGGGGGAGACCCGAGAGTGGCGAGACGTCAACAGTAAGTCCCACTGGTGACATTCCTGATAAAGTAATGAAGATAGGTGGAGGGAGCAGGATGCCAGATACAAGGTATCATTTGGGAGATGAAATCCTTCAAGAATCAGAGAGTTAGAAAGACCTGGGGGTTGATATCACGCCAAACCTGTCCCCTAAAGCCAACATCAAAAAGATATCATCAGCAGCATATGCCAAGTTGGCCAACATAAGAATTGACTTGAGAAACTCGTGTAAGGACTCTTTCAGAATCTTGTATATCACACATGTCAGACCAATTCTGGATTATGCAGCTCCAGCAT